CTCATGGCGGACTTTGCAAAACCTAATTCCTCATGGCCGGACTTTGCAAAACCTAATTCCTCATGGCGGACTTTGCAAAACCTAATTCCTCATGGCGGACTTTGCAAAACCTAATTCCTCATGGCCGGACTTTGCAAAACCTAATTCCTCATGGCGGACTTTGCAAAACCTAATTCCTCATGGCCGGACTTTTGCAAAACCTAATTCCTCATGGCCGGACTTTTGCAAAACCTAATTCCTCATGGCCGGACTTTTGCAAAACCTAATTCCTCATGGCCGGACTTTGCAAAACCTAATTCCTCATGGCGGACTTTGCAAAACCTAATTCCTCATGGCCGGACTTTGCAAAACCTAATTCCTCATCCTCTTTGCAAACCTAATTCCTCATGGCGGACTTTTGCAAAACCTAATTCCTCATGGCGGACTTTGCAAAACCTAATTCCTCATGGCCGGACTTTGCAAAACCTAATTCCTCATGGCGGACTTTGCAAAACCTAATTCCTCATGGCCGGACTTTTGCAAAACCTAATTCCTCATGGCGGACTTTGCAAAACCTAATTCCTCATGGCGGACTTTTGCAAAACCTAATTCCTCATGGCGGACTTTGCAAAACCTAATTCCTCATGGCCGGACTTTTGCAAAACCTAATTCCTCATGGCGGACTTTGCAAAAAACCTAATTCCTCATGGCCGGACTTTTTGCAAAACCTAATTCCTCATGGCCGGACTTTGCAAAACCTAATTCCTCATGGCCGGACTGCTTTCTTAGTACAGTTGTCAGGGATTCTACTGGAGTCATAAATCTGAAAACATGCATAAACGTTTTGATAGGACACACAAAGATGACCTGGACAGGCAAATGGTTAACATTCTCTATGGAAAAATAAAAAGAGCTTCCTTCATACAAGAAAGCATGTCAAGATGAATTTTCTTGGAATTTTAATCTGAATAAAATTAAAAGATTACTGCACATCTTTCATGTCTCTAGAATTTATTTTTATTGATAGACAACAGCTCAGCTCAACCTCAAGTAGAACAATTCTTTTTTTTTTTTTCCATGACTACCATCATATCTGTCCAAATTTCTGCATTTCAGCCATAGTGCTCTCTATCATCAGATTAACCTAATTGGCAAGCACTTAATGAAGGTTGGAGAGCCCAACAACCAAAAGATAAAGGTGAGGACAATAGGCCGCATATAAATAATGTAATAAAACTGATTATCTTAATGACGATGATGAATAAAATGTGAACTTACAAAAGTATACAACCCAGGGTCAAGGAATGCAGAGTTTCTATGGTGAAGTATTGATCACTTTTCACAAAGATCTTAGAAATGGTAAATTCACTATGCAATGTAATAGATAATATGAAAAATGAAAACAGCAAGCCAGGTTCAAATTACTGTCAAGAGGCAAAGGCATGAATCAGTTTCTATTTCCAGCTATGGATTAAATAGCAGGGTAGCCTTGGTTACCAACCAGTCTAAGAGGAAGAAAACTGATTTCCAACCCATGAAGATGGCAACAGGAAATCATTTTACTATTCTCAGATAATAAAAAGGAATCCATGAAAGCCATATCACTTACGTTCTGGAGGTATTGAGGAAGGGGAAAAAAAAAAAAAAAAAAAAAAGCTGTGGAGAGTTATGATCACTTACATTCAGAAGGGATATGGCATGATTTTAAAGAAAAAAAAAAAGAAAAAGATTCAGCAAACCACTTTAATACATTGACAGTCAACCACAAGGTGACCCGCTCGACATTTTTCAGCAACAAGTTTATTCAGTAATATGTTCAGTGTGAAAACAAATGTTAAGATTTCAGTTGAAGCTATAATCCAGAACCAGAGACAGGGTCTCCTAACTCCTGTTGGAGAAACCCCACCCTGATTGACATTGTCTTCTTCCCTTTTTTTTTGGTTGGTTGGGGGGGTATGCCATACAGCTGGACAATTGCAGATTAGTGAGGCAATTTAACCCATTTTTGAAAGTTTTGAATTCAGAATTGTCGTCCTCATAAACCAGCTGCCACTCAAGGTTACAGGACCCCAACCTGTCCTGCTAATCACCCATTGCTTAAAATCAACTCATAAAATTTTATTGCCTAAGTTGGCATTTGAAGAGATTTCATAATTAACTTCCGGAGGTCAAAGTGTTAAACAATTATCCTGGAATTTAATATTTTTACAAGTTTCAAACAGCCCTAATACTTTAAAGTTATGTGGTGGTGGTGGTAGTGATGATAATGATAATATCCCTGGAAGTCCATGCCTCAAAGAGATACAAAAAATTGTTCCGACAAATACAGCCCACACTTTACGAAGGGCTTTATCTATGTAATTTTTTTTTTTTTTTTTTTGTCAGTGGAAAGTGTCATGATGCCATTTCTAACCTTAGGTCCCTGGGCGGAACCCAGAAAGAAATGTGTAAACGCCAGAAATCAAAAAAAATAAAAATAATAATAATAATAATGAGTCTTTGGGGGTGGGGGAGATTATATAACATGAAGACATTGGTGGTGTCATCTTGAGTTTTAAAGGATGGGAAAGCAACTTCCCCACCCCTCCAAAATATAATAAGTGGGGTAGAGATGTAGGATTAGTTTAGGAAGAGAAGTTTTCACAAAAAAAAAAAAAAATAAATAAATAAATAAATAAATAAATAAAAATAATCAGTGGGAAGAGTTTGATTTTTTACAGAAACTGATAAGGCGCGGTACAATTATTACAAACACGAAAGTTCTTACAACTGAAATCAGATTCATACTATCTTCAGCCATTTTGTATTAGGGAAGAATAGTGATTATTTTGGATTCAACACTGGAAATGTTACAAATTCAAAGCAGCAATTCAATTAGAAACAACAGCAACAAGAATCAACAGTAATTTCATTTATTATCGACAATGAAAACAAGACATGAAGAAGTCTCTTTGGTTATGTTGAAAAATCAATCAACTGCAGAAGTTAGCCTTTCTGCTGGGCTTCTTTTTTTGTTGTTGCCATTTTAATCTACTCTTTTGTCTAACATTCCTACACCAAAAACAAAAATTCAACAGAATTTTTTTTTGTTTTGTTTTGTCTCCAGTTTCAAAGTTCTCCACTGAGATTTTACCAGCAAAATATCCTGAAAGTCCATCTAAGAGAATAACAATTATTCTAACCACTTAGAAATTTTGCAATGTTTCGGGTTAATTTAGAAACTGTTAAATATCAAACTTCTCATTATCAAAGTAAATCTATCCTCTAACACCTCTGTATTCAAACATGCCCGGGGTGGGGTGTGACAGAATGGATCTTTCTAGATAATGCTAAGAATCGTACCGAACTTGGTGCCACAGATTGAATGGTAGGCAGGTGAGTCATTCTTTCAATCATCATTGGAAAATAAAGACATGAAAATTTTTTAAAAATTAACTATCACAAAAGTGTGTGTGCTACGTCCATGAATTGAATATATAGCATAAATAAAGCCAAGTTTACTACTTTATTCAATCGATAATCTCTCAAGGGTGTTATGACATAAATATTAAATTTTGCTTTAAAAATGAAAAAGAAGATAGAATCAGATTGCAGCAGAGAAAATTATCTTAACTTGGACCCAAGATGTGAACAGAAATGATTTGTAAGATTTCAGAAATAGAAAATTTTCTCAGTTCATCCCAAAATGTTTCTCCTAGTTTTTTGTTTTTACAATAAACAAGACAAAGCAAATGGTTTACAATGAGTTTCATTTTCCAATTTAAAAATATTAAGAATCAGTAATAAAAAAAAAAAAAAAAATTTACTTAATGAAAATTCAATTAGGATTTATACTTTTAAGCTCCTGTTAAGCCATAAAAAACACCATAAAAGAGAAGCACTAGCTGTCAACAGGAGACCAGGGAAAAGATCTGTCAGTCAGTCTGGGCAGTCAGCAGGAGGAGTGCCACGCCAACCAGTGAGAACTACTATGAGTGTTCAACCCAGATCGGCAGCCGGCTTATGAAGTATACCACAAGGTAGCTGTCCCAAAACCACACGTTCCTATTGAAATAAATCATGTAAATCTATTTCTACTGTTGTATTTCTTTCTTGCAACCATAGGCTTGTCTATAACAATATTGTAAATAATAGTTTTACAACACAAAGAGATTAAAAAAAAAAAAAAAAGCAACTATCTTAGACTCCAAGGTAACAACATATGACCAAAAGTGAGAGACGAGGGGGAGGTTGTATATTTAAACAAAAACTTATATTCAAAAAATATTTCCTCAACCTGAATACATTGATTATATCCAACACCCCCCCAAGTAATTAAAGAAAGAAAAAAAGTCTAATGGAGGGTGTTAACATGAGCAAAAATGAAACCATAAACCCATGAAAAATTTTAGTCACAAATATAGAAAATAAATGAAAGTTTGTCATAATTATTGTCAAAATAAAAATTAAATTAGGACAATGCATAAATTAGTATTTCACAGAGGCAAACACAATGGAGAAAGAGGAGAGAGATACAAATATACACACAGACACAAAATCCCTGGGTTACAAGAGTCCTGACCTACAATGGTTAAAGGTCATGACGCAATCTTATTTTCACTTACAAAACAAATTTATGTTAATTTAAATCAGGAAATTTTGCTTGTAAAATCTCTAAGAACCAGGTGAACACAACATTGGTCATATCATCAAGCAGAGTTCCCCCCAATTGTCTAAGGTTTAAGAACAATGCCATCATAAATGCATACAAATGCAAGTATCCAATGAGGTGTTAAAAAAAATAAATTTAAGTTAACGTTGCTGCTGCTGTCCGCACCTCAAGTACAAAGAAAAAAAAAAAAAGACCAGTTGGCCACCATATTTGTATTCCCACAATACACTCATAGACACCAAGAGCCTCACTCTGGTGATATGAATTCATTAACCAAAATGAAGTCTGGCATACATTAGTGGCCTTACATGTTTGGTGGCTTCATGATCAATTGCACTGAGGTGAGATTAGGGACAGCAGCAAATTAACCTCAGCATCCTGCTGCGGCGATGCTTAATCCACTGGACTTTGTTGTCTGGAGTGTAGTGAAGACCTGGAAAGAAAAATCAAGACATCAACAGATAACAAAACAGCTAGATATTTAATTAACTCAGCCATCATTATTTATGGGGAAGAAAAACATGCAAATAACAAAAGTGATCCTGATTAAGTCAAAATTAATTAACCCAGCAGGAATTGGTACCTGCTTAGGCAACCTCTACTTGATAAGTAATTACAAAAGTGAACATAAAAGAATATTTTCGTTATTTACAAGCTACAATGTGAAAAGTGGGCACTGATCATTCAAGTATTTCATTTCATATCCCGAATAAATCTACAAATAAGAAACAACATTCTATTGCTCTCTAGTGTAATGTACTGATGATGGAAAAGACTATGTAGATGATAGGTATTCTTATTTGATTTGATTGGTTGTTTTGTGGCATATCAAAACCTCAGTGGGTCATTTAATGCCATCAAAATTTTTGAAATAGATACATAGGGATAGTTTGGTAAAAAAAAAAAAGGTGTGTATATATTACTTATATATCTTTGAGCACAATCACATGTATTGCTGGTAATATTCCCCCCCAAAAAAAAAACGTATTGCTGGTAATTGTTTTTTTTATTATTTTTTTTTCAAAAATTAATTCCTGGTAATAATTTTTTTTTCAAAGTATTTCTGGTATTAAAACCTTTTTTTTTTTTTTTTAACACTTTTATAATGCTTTTTACTTCAGTTTCAGGGTTAACTATTTGCCCATACCTAGGACCCTAACAGGTGCTACCACCTCGGGTCAGCGTGGACCTGGGAACACCAGCAATTAAGAGTTGGTTCCATGCTCCTCAAAACCTCCTGATCAGAGGCCTTACTGCTGGATGTAGTTTAATGTCTTACCCAGGACGAGATTAAAAAATGGCTTTGAGCAAATGAAGCCTGTTGTTCTTAATGAGGACCATCCTTCAAGCCTGTAGGTCTAAGCAAAAATGACTTTTTTTAACCTTGTAGACAGGTACTACAGAATCAAATAAGTGTACTAAATAACAGAAACAACATCACTTCAAAGAATTAAATCAATAGATTAAAAAATAAAAAAAAATTAACTACAACCAATGATCAAGTGATAAAAACATTGCATAATCCAAATTTAACTTTTAGAAAGATTTTATTTTTAGAAAATCAGTTTTCTGTTCATAAGAATAAATTTAAGGGAATTTATCATTGAAGACAGACAACATGTTTGCTTTGTAAGGATGTTAATTCAATCAACAACCGAAATCACTATAGAAATTTTGTAACAGGAAAAAAAATTAAAAAAAAAATAGGCGAGATTCTGGTATTATCTGTATTGAGCAACAGCTGTTATAAATTTTTCCAACTTGTGCATTTAAGTCATAAATCACGCAATATACTTGCACTAATGAAAGCATGAAAATTTCTCAGGAAACCTGAATAGTTCCTGTGTAAAAAAAAAAAAAAAAAAAAAAAAAAAATGAAAATCTTAATGCATTATTTATGCCTCAGTTTCTGTTTCCCAAGACTGTGAATTAAGATAGAAACCTTAAATTTGAATAAATGAACTAAATACATCTAAATACAGGTGAGGCTCAACAGTACTCATCTTCGGAAATGATATAAGAACCAAGTCTTTAAGCAAACCCCACTGATTAACCAAAATTTATGTGTTCCCATTTATTGTTGCTCAACAAATTTGTAAAGAACTACATATACTTTATTATAAATGTAGAGCCATTTTTTCCTTTATTTATTGTTTGTTTTTTTTGTTGTTGCTGATGATGATAATAGTAGTAGTAGTAGTAGTAACAACAACATTGTGTTTGTCAACACAAATAGTGTTGTTAATGTTGCAGTCATTCCTAAGCTTAAACATTTAATATTTGAAGACAACTTTGTTCAATAACTAAATTTTAGGTAGCAGTGAAGACAATTTGGTTTGTAGATATTAAAAAAAAATAAATAATAATAAATAAATAAAAAAAGAAAACTTAAAAATAAAATCTGGATAAGACTTTCTATAGCACAAAGGTCTACTTCCATTATAACAAATAAAGCTAACATATTTACTGCTATGATGTAGAAATTGGAATTCTTGAATATTCCAGTCATTCTAAAGGAATTTAGTTAAAAACGAAAAAAAATAAAATAGTAGGTTCATTCAATTTTATAATAGATTGCTTCCTTCTCTCCATTTAGTTGATTATAATGTCTTGTAAATTTTATTTATTTTACCCGTTCTTCTGCATCAGAAGCCAAATGCCAATGTAACCATTGTATGATTTGTCAATTGGGTTAAAAATGGAATCTTTTTTGCACAAAATGGAATACAAAATGCAAAGACATTTCATGTTTTTTTTTACGATAAAAAAAAAAACTAAAAAAAAAAAAAAAAAAAAAAAAAAAAAAAAAAAAATTAAGAAAATTGTTGATAGTCACCTCAGAGCAAGTTGGATGGATTCCAATGGTGTTATCAAAATCTTCTTTCTTGGCACCAAGTCGAAGTGCCACAGCGTAACCTTGAGTTACCTCCCCTGCATTGGGGCCAGCATAATGAAATCCAATTACTTTTTCCTAATAAAAGAAACGCATGAAAAGTCATTAAATACTGTGACATACTTCAGTTGAAATAGTTGCTTATTTATCACCAAAGTCCCAACGGTTAGAGTTCCAGTCCAGATAAAAGCCAGGAGATATTTTTCTTTCCTCAAATACATCAAATGCATTTCCTGTTTGAATTTCTTGAAAAACTTTTTTTCTAATCAAACCAACATCTACATCTTTGCTTTTGATGCTATTAAAATATTTTGACTGTTGTTCCAAATACTTTGTTATGAGGTGAAGGTCTGGTGAAATTTGTGTGCATTGTCCATTAGGGATAATACCACAAAATTACCTGGATTGACAGACACCTGAAAGACTGGAGAGCATAGCAGCTGAAATGATAACTTTTTGCACAAATATCAAACAGAACAGAATATTCTGTTTGTATTTTTTAGGCCTAAAATAATTAGATAACATTATTGGAACAATCTAGAGTATTAAAGCAATTTAAGTTTTAAAATTTGAAATTTCCATTGTACAAATATTTTTTTCACCCATTAAAATGGATAAATGGGATTTATTTCTATTAAATCAAAATTGTTTTGTCTTCTAGTCATAGTTATGCATCTGTGTACAGTTAATTATATGAAAAGTATGTTTATTCATTAGTTGGAAATTTTTTTTTTTTTTTTTAAGCATTTCACCCCAAGGGGTTACAGAAAATAGCAAGATCAGATAGGAGTGATAGAAGAAAGGATGAGGGTAGTAGATAGATTAAGGCAACTGGAGATGTCGATTGACATTACACTTGAATAGCTGGAGATTATAGCTCACAGGGAAACAGGAAAAGGGAAGAGAGTTCCACAGGCGAGAGGTGCGAGACATGAAGCTATTAGAGTAGAAGAGATGGCTACATTTAGGAGTTTCGACAGTGAAGGGGTGAGAGCGGGATGCCAGCCTCGTAGGGCACTGGAACTCATGACGTCTGGGAACCAGCAAATGCAGCTCCTCGGAGCAATTTCCATGAAAGTATTTGTAGAACAGACAGAGGGAGGCGACGGCGCATCTGTGAGAAAGTGACTGTAGATGAGATGCCAGGGCAGGGCCAACCATATTGCATATCCGCTTCTGGAACCTATCAAGAACCCTGAGGCAAACAGAAGGGGCACCAGACCATATATGGCAGCAATACTCCATGCAAGGGCGAATTGTGGATTTGTATATCTGGAGGATCGACTCGGGGAGAAAAACTTCCTAGCGCGGCTCAGGGAATCAACTTTCCTCGCAGTGGACGAGGCAATTGACTCGATGTATTTATTCCATCTCAGGTCAGCAGTCAACGTGAGACCGAGAAGCCGCAGAGAGTTGCTCTCGGGAAGTTGAGCGTCAGACATTCTAATGGAGGGAAGGGAAGGCTCTCTGTGGTGATTAATAGAGAGCAGTTTTGTCTTCGAAGCGTTGAAGTTGACCAGCCAATTCTTGCCCCAGTTCACAATCGATTGGAGGTCCTTTTCAAGACGCACGGCAAGGTGAGTTTTGTCAGCGCAACGATTTGTTTTTGAAATTAAAAATTTGTATGTATCCAATATTTTCAGGTAAGTTTCCACACCCTAGACATGTCCCAAAACCGTTGGTGTTACACCTTACTCTCAGGCAATATTTTAGCTCCCAGAATTATTCACAATTCTGAAGTGCATGAACAGTTTTACTTGACTTACATTCTGGGATTTTAAGCAGATTAGCTTCACATAGCACTCCTTGGCACGGCGTTGAGCAACTGTAAATTCCAGAGGAACATAGTTGGTGTGATAGACCTAAAAATAGACATACACGAAAAATATTAAAAGTTTATTTTGACCACCTTTCCAAGAAATAGCTGATGGTTTATTAAACCACTCGTATTAATTAAGTGTAATTAAAATCCAAAATATTTCAGAAATTATGACAAGAGAAAATTATATGTAATAAAAAAAAAGTATTTTCAATTCCAACTTGGTTTATCTTGACGTTATTAAAATCATTTTTCCTTAAGAGATGGAAAGCTATGTTTTTGGGTATGATCAATATAAAAAAAAAAAAAAAAAACTGACAGAAGATAAAGCATTTCCATTAGTGTGTGAGAGAGAGAGAGAGAGAAAAAAAAAAAAAAAAAAAGGAAGTATTCTGTAACTAACCTCAATATCATCAGCACCATACATTTCAATTGCTTTTTCCTCAGTAAGGCCAATGCAGCCATATTCCAATGGAGTGAACACTGTTGTTGGTATATTGTTATAGTCACACTGAAATTCAAAAGTACAAGAATGTTAAGTATCTGTAGCAAGATGTTTGTTATTTTTAACCAAAGTTAAATTATCTGGCATTTCTGATTCATCAGAAACTAATTTTTACAGCCCTCAAAAAATATATAAGAAAAAGGAGGACAAATAGCAAAAATTAAAACTCTCCCTAAAATAATGGAACAAAAAAATACAATTTTTTTTTTATTTTTTTTTTTTATAAATCTTTGCTCTACCCTGCTGCTATTTTGTATTTTTGTACATATTCAATATAAAATTCTAAAGTGTTCATTTTAAAGCCCCAATAAAATTTTATGCCCACTACCAACAGATTACTTTTAAATGATTTCTTCCATTTTAATTTCGGTTGCTTTACATTGCAACTGCTTAGCTGCTCAGCATGACACCTTGAATAAGCCTTCTGCTAGATTTTTACTTGTGTCCTTTTTATCCAAATTAGGGAAATCTTCCGATTTCTGCTGAGCATCTATTTTTATATGCTGCTTAAATTTGATCAAAAGATCAAATTTAAGCAGCATATAAAAATAAAAAAAATAAAAAATGGAATCAGAAGTTGAAAGATACGGATTACAGGAATAGTTCTCAAAGAACTCAACAAGGAATTGAAGACCACCTCTATTTATTAAATTTTGCACATTTGACCCTTTATCTTAACTCCCTCTTTATTACACCCCAATTTAATGCACTCGTATTTGGTATCTAATATTAAGTGAATTAAATTTATATTGTAACAACCAATAGAAATTGATTCTGTTCATTTTCCAACTTCATATTAGGTTTTAAAATCAGAAGACAATGCTAAAATATTTACTAATCTGCATGTTAAATTTTGCCATAAACAAATTTCAGCATTTCAAGAGATACATCGATTACCTCCCTTGAATCAAGTGTCATCCATGATTAGTGTACAATAATGAATATCACTTCTCTGTAGGGTTAGGGTGTAAATTTTCATGGGCGGACACAAATTAAATATTACATTGCTCCCGATTAAATGGAGAAAATTAGTTTATAGGTATTTCCAAAAGAAACAAAACAGTGACTTTTTCAAGTTTACAGTTGCTAACTTGAGAGAGAGAATTACAAACACAAGGACGGTCATTAAATCTTCAAAATAGGAGAACAAAGTTACATACCAAAACTGTACCATTACCAAAAAGTCTTCGCACAAGAAGAATCCCTGCCTGGATGGCAACAGGTGTTAGTTCTGGCTTCCCATCAACAATATCACCAACAGCATGAATGTAAGGAATATTACTATTCTCTTTTTCATCACAGATGATTTTGCCATTTCTGGGAGATTTTCAGAGAATAAAAGAGAAAAAAAAAAAAAGAAAAGAGAAAAGAAAACAATATACTTCACAGCAAGGGAGTGAGGGAGATAGTGGTTAACAACAAAAAACAAAGAGAAAAAAAATAACAAAAAAGAAGTCATTGAAAAGTAGGTTACGGGATTGTTTGCACCTTAGTGACAACATTCTTGCAATAGGTTCACATTAAAACAAAAAATAAAATAAAGTGCAATTTCTAAACAGAACTTAGAAATTAGCAACATTTTCAATCATCGAGCGGAAACACAGAGAGAGGAGAGTGGAAACACAGAGGGAGGAGAGCGGAAACAAAAAAAAAAAAAAAAAAAAAAAAAAAAAAGAGGAGTGAGGAAACAAAAAAGTTTGGCAAGAAAAATTCGCAATCATAAACCAGTTTTGTTACTCAAGATTTCAGTTGAAAATTTTGATTTGTGGCCATCTGAATGGCTGAAGATTTTTCCTGCAAATCCCTTTTACTGACAAGAATTTATAAAAATAAAATAAAATGACATTCAAAGCAATTAACCCCCCACCACCACAAAAAAAAAAAAAAAAATATTCTACCCCCTCCACCACAAAATACACAATGGAAATAGCCAAAAGTGTAATTAAGTAAAAAAAAAATAAAATAAAATAAAATAAACATTTAATAAGTTCAAAATTATACTTTTTTTAAAATTTGATCTGTGCTTTTGATTAAAATTATTCTTAAATCAAGTCAAATAAACTCATGACTATATATTTCAGTCAGCCAGTATTTGTCGTCACAACAGTCAGTCATTATCAAACTTACATGAAATATAATTAACAGTTTTTGTTATTTTACTTTGAAGCATGATGGAGAAAAAAAAAAAAAAAAAAGAACTGATCAGAAATCAAGCAACCAGTTATCTTCAAACTTACTTGCTGTTTGTTTTGACACCAACAACATCAAGATTAAGGTCTTGAGTTAGTGCTTGACGACCAATGGCCAATACCACCTGAGAAATTGAAAACAATAAAACTTTTAGATATACAAATAATGAACAAAGTTTTTCCTGTGGTGTAAAATAGATTAAAGTTATTTTTAGACTAGTGTTCATTTATTTGTTTTAAATTAAAAAAAACAAAAAATCATCTCTGACAAGACTTCAACTCCTTTTCCTCATCCTGCATCAACTGGCACCCGATGGGCAATCTGTTGTTGACTGGAGCAAGAAATGGTTGGTTAATTTTGACAAATCCAAAAGTAAATTTCTCTCGTCTTAGAGAAGCTTTTCTGCCTTCCATCAACCTGGCTAATGTTAATCTACAGGTAAGTGACTTATAGTAACTTTTTGCTCTAATATTTGCCATATGTATGAATTGAAATTTTATATCAAATAAATTACTAAGTCTACAGCTGGGAATATTGGTACCGTGTGTCATGCAAGACAATTTTTCTTGCACATTTATAAGTCTATCATTCGTCCATGCACTGAATATTGCCATCACATCTGGTCTGGTGCTTCTGCTATATATTTAGAAATTCTTGGCAAAAATCCAAAGAAGTATTTGCAATGTTATCAGTCCTGAGCTAGCAACTCAGTCACTTTCCCACCACCATAACATTGCTTCCTCGTCTTTTCTAAAAATCTTTTTATGCCAATTGTTACGAGCTTTCCTTTTTGGCAGCTTGACTTCATGAATTTAAGCACAGTACTAGATTGGCAGTTAGGTCTCATCATTTTACTGTTCAAATTGCTAAATGTAAGTTCTATTCTAGTAGTTTCTTCTCTTGCACATTGAACAATTCCAGCTTTTTTTTTTTTTTTCCTTTCTGTCAACTACAATCAGAAGTTGAAATGCTGCATCAATAGTTATCTGTGTCTCTCTAAATAGTTCTTTTATTGTACTCTCCATCTTCACTTACATTTTCTCAATCTCTTTCATTCTCAGTTATTATTGCGTCTCGATGACTATTGCCTTGCTTGGGATAAAATTATTGGGGGGGGGTCAAAAAATTAAGATAAATAAAAACTCACCTTACTGCTACAATGAAGATTATTTGGACTAATACATGGGCACACACTAATATATATATATATATATATATATATATATATATATATATATATATTAGTGCTCAATGCCCCATGCAAAAAATTGAACATGCAGAGCAGATTAAAATGAAATCACTTTACTCTTCCATACTACCTTGGTTTCAACTGTGAGATCTCATCAGGTCGTTAGGTAAAATTGCTTCTCAACGCACACCAAGTTTTTTGTTTTTTTAACTATGGCACCAAAAGTCAAGGGGAGTGGGTGTGAGAGAGGAAAAATAAAAAAATTTTCTTTATATGCCCTTCAACAGGGACATAGAGGCAATCAAAGTGCTTGCCAACATGTCTAAACTTGAACATAATCTCAGATCTCCCATTCAACAACACAGAATGATTGAGATAGATCACAATCGCCAACTTTCTCTTCTTGACACAATCTACACCTGTTGTCATTTGTCCTGCCAGATTTGACCCACCTCAAAATACGCCAATTCCCAATTGAATTTCTGGCACATTGCTCTTTCGACCACCAAACATGATCTGCCAGTTTTGTACTGTACCTTAGAAACTGACAAGAATACTTTATGCCAAAAGAGTTTTTAATTCACAGAGTTTTCTAATAAACAAGATAAAAATGCAGCCAAGGAAATTTCTAGGGCACATAATGAGGAAAAAAGGCTTGAAGAATTTGACACTCATGGGACATATTGAAGACAAGAGAGACAGAAGAAAGCATTGAATAGCCTAGTTAACATGCTTGTGCAGAACAGAAATTAGGAGATAAATAGACAAAATTTAATAAAAACTACAAAGGACAGGAAATTGTGGAGAGCCATGATTGCCACAGCCTGAATGAACAAGATATACAAGTAAAATAATTTAGCAATTTTTTTTTTTTTTTTTTACATATATTTTAAGGGCTAAATAGTTATTTAAAAAAATAAAAAAAATCAACAACACTAAATTACTTACATCATTATCACTAATTTGGTCTAAAATGAAAATAAATAATGCTAAAGTAGATTAAATATTAAAAATGTTTAAATATAAAACTCAAAATACAGTCAGAAAATGTTTTCAAATTTTTTAGCCCAAGATAAGTGTTAATAGCACAAATGAAAATCGCATTCATTTTTTTTTTTTTTTTTTGTTAATTAAGACTTTCAGGTAATTTGTAATTTAGTGTCCCAAACAAATTTTGCATACCAAATACAGAATTACCTTCAATAGATTGCTTTACCTAGCCTCATATGTTTAAGTACACATTTTAGAATAAGGAAAAAGCCTGGCCATAGTCAATATAAAATATCAATTTTTTTTTCATTTATTAAAATTATTTGTCATAATATAGATTAAATTAATTATATTGCATTATTTCCCCACCCTAAACCCCCTTTCCTAATGAAATAAAATTTTACTTACTGTGTTGAATTCTTCACTGTTTTGTTCTCCTGCATTGTTGGCATATGTAACTAGTAACCGACCTGGCTCTCCAGCTTCCACCTGCTCCACCTATGAAAGAGACAAGTTTAGTTCATAACAAGAGCGACAAAGTTTTATGAAGTTGGGTTTTCTCCCACCCACCACTCAATCCTTTTATATTTATTCAAAATGTCAGAACATTAACATGTACAACAGATCATAGAAACACAAAATTTAAACAAAGACATCTTGAATATTTTGACAAAAGCAAAAGAAAACCTTAAAAGAACTTTACAGAAAGCTATTAAGAAAAGGAAATAATGACTTCTGAGGTTATCAAGTCATAAGTGAACAGTTTTATTCTGCAACTGAAAATAGCCCAAAAATAAGACAAGTTTCTAGCTTTAAAAAAAAAAAAAAAAAAAAAAAAAATTTAGTCAACTCCACCCCATATATCTGAGCTTAATATTGGCCTGTTTATAAATTTAACACTTTCATTAAAGAGCCTTTACAAGTTTGTTTATTGAAAAACAATAAATTATGATCTGCCCTCACCCACCTCCAACACTGGTATTTATTAAAACTCCTCTTTGTATAAAGAACCTAAGAGCACAAATAATAGTTTTATTATCACAACTTTTAAAATATCTTAATGGATTTTTGAAATATTAAGTGATAATACAAGTGATAAAAATATTTTTATTACTACTATTATTTTTTTTAATATTTCATTACTAACACATCATCACCTGTAAAATATTTCTTAAACCTATATGAGAATTTGTACAAACTTTGATGTGTTTTTGCCATTAAAGCTTAAATAGCTAAAGTGTCCATTTCCGACTCCAGAATGCATCAATTTGTGTAAATAAATTTCTTTTTATCTTTTACTACCTTTTGGAAGTCCATTTCCTTGAGTCAAATTAACTGTTGTTTATTATACTTTGTGCTACGATGAAGAAACATTCAAAAGAATTCACTATCCTTTCAATGAGTTACATCATGGCTGATTGACTAATCATACACTACACTTTTTTTTTCCTCTCTCTATACTCTTCCCAATATTGAATTATAGTTAATTCTACTTAAAATGAGTTCATAGAGTCAGAGGATTTATTGAGTAGAGTTCACAAGGTAAAAGATAATTTGTATAATAAAGGTTGATAACTAAGTCATTTTTACAATGTATACTTTTCTCAAATACTGATATTAAAACTGCAGAACCAAATCCAAGAATTTCAGTACTGTTGGGAGGTCTATTAAAATTTTCAAAATATTTTGGTACTTGTGTAATAAAATACAAAAATTTTTCTATGATTTTCAATTTTGCTGTTTGTCATTCAAAATAAAGGAAATAAATTCAACAATCAAATAAAAGGTGGCAAGGTTTTCTTTGTGGAAAAGTGGAGGCAAAACACCAGTAGGAGGCACAATTGTATATTTTAAGCAGTTTCAAGAACTGTTGGCCACAACAATATGTATATCTGTCTTTGCATTACAAGAAACAACCAGAAAAGACTGACGACTTACTATAATAATAAAAAAAATAAAATGAAACTGCCAAAAACATCTTCATTTTAATTTCTGTTAAGATTGAAAAATGTAAGGATAAAAAAAAAGAGAGGAGGGGGGAAAATTAATTCCCTTAATCTAAGAATTGGTTTATTTTACGGCATATCAACCTCAATGGGTTATTTAATAATTTCTTTAATTTTCAAAAATATATTGCTGGTAATTTTCTTTTTTTTCAAAAATCTTTTGCTGGTAATCTTTTACAAAAATGTATTGCTGGTATCAAAACCTATTTTTACACTTTCATAGTGTTTTGACCCCATTTTGGGGGTTAACTATTTGCCCAGAGTTGAGACCCTAACAGGTGCTACTACCCCAGGTCAGGGTGGACCTGGGAACACCAGCAATTAAGAGGTGATTCCACACTCTACAAAAGCTTGCTACCAGATGTAGTCTATTGTCTTACCCAGGACAGCTAAAAATTGGTGGTATATGGGTACTTAAGTCAAAATGAGTATGACTCATTTGCCTAACAAGCATACTGGACATGAGAATACAACCAATTAAAAATGTGTGTAGTGCTTCAGTAATATATATTATGCCTTTAAATTCCTTGGGGAAAATATAGCCGCAAGATATTGTTGCGGTTTCTGTAACAAGCCAATTTTTTAAGTGAGTAGGTTGTTAGCCCACTGCACAACCCCTAACCTAAAGGATCAGGTTTTGAATTCAGAATTGTCCTACTAGACCAGTTGCCATCCATGGTTACAGAACCCAGTCTGTCCTGCTATTTACCCATAGCTGAGGGTGGGGAGAATAGGATTCATACCTTTCCCAAGGGTATTAGCACACAAGTGAATGTAATGGATCCGACTGGAATTTGAACTTTGATTTCTCAATCTGAGCCACTATCTATTACTCTACCATGCCTCTTCACACTTCAGTAAAATAGCCCCAAAATATTTTTTATTTAAGTGTATGAAAACTGACATTGCATAAGCTCATATGAAAATTATTCAGATACTTGAAAAAAGTTAAAAGAAAATTTATCAGTGACATTAACATTATGATGCTTAATTTAATTTGTGCTTATTCAGTGATAAAAATCAGTAATTGCTATGAGCCACTAAATTTGGAAATCTTTCGAGATAAAAAAATGTAGATTTAAATTAAACAATCTAACCAAAAAATTTTAATCATGTGACACTGAATCAAGATTTACCATTTTTACTTGGGACTCTTTTATAAACCGGATTCCATGATTTTCCATGTAACTTCCTATCAGATCGGCCATTTGCCGGTCAAAGCCACGCAGTAGAATTGAGCGAACCATGACAGTCACATCAAGGCCAAAGGCTTTCAAGAAACCAGCACACTCCAGAGAAATGTAAGAAGCTCCCACTAAAAGTGTCTTTCCAGGACAATGCTTTAAGGCAAACAGGTCATCACTGAAGAGGGGAGAAGAGAAAAAAAATATTTGTCAGCACAATCTTTATGAATAAGATAAGGTAAAAACCCAAATTGAAAGTAAAGAGAAAATCTTTATATGGGATGAAAATGGTTTCAAGTTAATCATTTTTTTGTTTTTCTTTAGTTGACATTTAAGAAGTACAATATAGATTTTGGAAATCACATTTTTGGCTGTCCATGAAGCTATCATCATTAAATGTCTTTACTTAACCCCCCATGGAGTCAGGTTGTGACACAAATGACAAACAGAAACAAATATATAAGGGGGCATGGAGGTCAACACCAACTGGTGACAGTGTTTCATGCAGTCATCAAGACATGGATGCCAGTGTCCATTGCTAATATTGACTACTTGTACACAAATGTAGCATACAATATATATATATATATATATATATATAATATATTTTTTTTTGCAAGAAAGATTGATTTAAATCTTCATAATTTGTGGAGATAAAATGAAGCATATCAATATTACTCAATGATCTTTATGTGACCTTCATCTTGCTTTCTGCTCCTATAGTTATCTTAGTACACTGGGTAATGTAGTTTCAGTATGTGTGTATATATATATATATATATTATAGTTATGAGGGCCTCTCTAGAAGTTTCATAACAAAAAAAAAAAAAAATGACAGGGAGGGGATACTACAGAAAAAATACACAAGTATATTATATGACGTTTGAGTCATGTGAGCATCTTGCCTGTGCGTGCGTGCGCATCTTACATGTGTATATTATGAACCTGTGTATATTATGAACCTGTGTATATTATGAACCTGTGTATATTATGAACCTGTGTATATTATGAACCTGTGTATATTATGAACCTGTGTATATTATGAACCTGTGTATATTATGAACCTGTGTATATTATGAACCTGTGTATATTATGAACCTGTATATTATGAACCTGTGTATATTATGAACCTGTGTATATTATGAACCTGTGTATGTATGAACCTGTGTATGAACCTGTGTATATTATGAACCTGTGTATATTATGAACCTGTGTACCTGTGTATATATGATGAACCTGTGTATATTATGAACCTGTGTATATTATGAACCTGTGTATATTATGAACCTGTGTATATTATGAACCTGTGTATATTATGAACCTGTGTATATTATGAACCTGTGTATATTATGAACCTGTGTATATTATGAACCTGTGTATATTATGAACCTGTGTATATTATGAACCTGTGTATATTATGAACCTGTGTATATTATGAACCTGTGTATATTATGAACCTGTGTATATTATGAACCTGTGTACCTGTGTATATTATGAACCTGTGTATATTATGAACCTGTGTATATTATGAACCTGTGTATATTATGAACCTGTGTATATTATGAACCTGTGTATATTATGAACCTGTGTATATTATGAACCTGTGTATATTATGAACCTGTGTATATTATGAACCTGTGTATATTATGAACCTGTGTATATTATGAACCTGTGTACCTGTGTATATTATGAACCTGTGTATATTATGAACCTGTGTATATTATGAACCTGTGTATTATGAACCTGTGTATATTATGAACCTGTGTATATTATGAACCTGTGTATATTATGAACCTGTGTATATTATGAACCTGTGTATATTATGAACCTGTGTATATGTGTATATATTATGAACCTGTGTATATTATGAACCTGTGTATATTATGAACCTGTGTATATTATGAACCTGTGTATATTATGAACCTGTGTATACCTGTGTATATTATTGTGTATATTATGAACCTGTGTATATTATGAACCTGTGTATATTATGAACCTGTGTATATTATGAACCTGTGTATATTATGAACCTGTGTATATTATGAACCTGTGTATATTATGAACCTGTGTATATTATGAACCTGTGTATATTGTGTATGAACCTGTGTATATTATGAACCTGTGTATATTAACCTGAACCTGTGTATATTATGAACCTGTGTATATTATGAACCTGTGTATATTATGAACCTGTGTATATTATGAACCTGTGTATATTATGAACCTGTGTATATTATGAACCTGTGTATATTATGAACCTGTGTATATTATGAACCTGTGTATATTATGAACCTGTGTATATTATGAACCTGTGTATATTATGAACCTGTGTATATTATGAACCTGTGTATATTATGAACCTGTGTATATTATGAACCTGTGCATCTTGTGTGTGAGTGAGCATATTATATAATATATACACACACGTCTGTATTACATGTCATATACATGAATCCTGCTAGAGAACTCATTTTCCTTTAATAAAATTTCAGTAGATGAAAATAAATACTGTTGAATAAATGAAAATGATGAAAAAGGGGAAAAAAATTTTAATCAAAGACATGTTTCACCTAAGAAAAGCTTGGTTTATATTCTGACTTCATCTGATGACAACCAAGCAAACATCAGCTAAGCTTTTCTTTGGCAAAACTTCTCTTGGATTAAAAATTTTCCATTTAGTCTTATTTTGTTTTGACACTATACATACTACCAACTCAAATCACTTTCTGAAACCTGGGTATCCACTAAAATGTTTGAAGTGACGATATTCCCTTTCTTCCTATCCTGATGGCCTAGGGATCTGAGATTGCTTCAAGCCAGGATCAAAACCTGATCAATCACATGTCTAGCCACACTGATAAGTTGTGATACTGCAAAACTGTGGATAACTATAGAGGATAATTATAAACCTGCTTAGCAAAAGTTTTATTTTTGGCTTTAAACCACTTACATCATACTGTGCATACTCATAGCACAATAATATTGCACACACATTTTTAACTCAGGATCAAAGACTTATCTTGTTTCTAATCCCAAAAGAAATAAGACATCGATTTTTTTTGCATTATTAATTATTACCCCTATTTCTTTTTGGCAGGAATCTGATGTAATTTCAATAAGCGAATCAACAGCAGATACTTACTCAATTCTTAAAGAGAAGCACAAAAACTTAAATGCTTACCTTGTTATACAATACTCCTTAGCGCCAGGGCAGTCAAGATAATTAGGGCGGAGACCTGGAGCCAGCAAATATTTGGAGCTTGTATGTGTTGTAACTTTTCCCTTTTTGTTGACAGCCTACAATAATACAAATATTGAAATTTGAAAACCTCACAAGTGATTGAATTTCTTGCCAGAAGAGAAAAAGAAAAAAAAAAAAAAAAAAAAAAAAAAAAAAAAAAAAAAAAAAAGAAAAATTGGCCTGAATGGCAAATCCAATCTAATTGCCAGATTTGTTTTCTTACTTCAATGCTTTAGTAAATAAAACAATAAACATGCCTATCAAGACAAAAACACAATAAGTTACAGACAACTATACTAACACATTAAAGGCACCTCGTCGTGATGTAATGGCTTGCAAGGTTGTCTTCCCAGAACCATTACAGCTGAGTAGTGAGTTCAAACTTCACTGGAGGGGAACAGTCGACTAGATAGGAGAACAGTCGAATTCTGCCTTGAGCAGAGAAGAACCCGGACGAGGCTTTGCCGAAGAGCAAAGTTTTGTCTGGGGAGATAGATAGACACTGAACCTGTTAATATGGGTTCTAAAGGAATATTTTTGGCTGAGCCTACAGGCTCGGAGAACCCACAGTAAACTTGGCCTTGTGTCACATACATCCCTTTTGGGGGAGACTGTTAAATATTAATTATACTAACACATTTCAAATCATAAAAGTAATAAGCCATGGTCCAATTTCTGTTCTCCAGGTACCAGTTTAAAGAGAGTCAACTGTTTCTGAGGCAAACAGAAATATTTTTTACTGTAAAAACTTTATTCAACATCTTAAAAAGTTCTCAAATTTTAGAACTTTAGACTAAAGACTCCCCACCTGCCCCTACCAAAGAAAAACATCAAGCAATACACTACCATATTAATATGAACTAGATTTAACCCATGAAAATTTCAATGTTTTCCTATTTTCATTTTTTTGATGAATCTTAAGTTAATGATGGAATAAACTCACGGCAAGTTCTTCAACAATAAAATGTCTGTAGAAATTCTATCACATAGAAGATAGCTCAGCATTTGAGCACCTCATAAGAACAAAGCCACATATTTCCTCACAAAAATGTTTATATAAACAATATACCTTTAGAAATATAAGCCCTGGTAAATCAGTTAAATATTTGATTTTTAAAATCAGTGTGTATTTTAGAGATTTGCAAAAAAAAAAAAAAAAAAAAAAAAACAACTCCCATGCAATAATACACAGTACACCTTGTTAAGTAATGTAAATAATTTTTCAAACACTAATTCCACCAATTTTATTCATTAATTTTAATACAAGTTTTCAGTGTTTTATGGCTAGCAGTGTATTTTTAAGAAACCAGGCTTAGTTATAAAAAAAAAAAAAAAAAAAAATAATAAGCAACTTATTGGATGATTTTAATGTCAACCGAATAATCTTGACAGGAAAGATTTCATGATCAATCTATGAATTAATCTGATGTAGGATTTGTTTAATAAAATTTATCACTTGAAAAAGTTAACTGAAAACTAGTCTAGAAATATTTACAAAGTTAAAAGTAATTAAATCATTATTTATTTATGACAATGACATGAAAATAAATTTTCAAAACTTGTTTCACCGATTTAAGTGTTCCAATTTTTATTTTTTTTTAATGAAAACTTACAGAGCCACAGTGGTCAAACCTTAATAACCGATTACAGCTAAGCTATTTGGCCAACCAAACCCAAACATTATCTTAAACGGCATTCTTTCCTTGATTTTTTAAGCAAATTTGACCAAATTTCCACCACTGGTTGCTTTGGAATCGAGCTAAATATATTAGTACCCTTTATTGCACTTGACCAAAAAAAAAAAAAAAATTGGTTTTATGATATTCAGCATTTTTTTTTATCTCGCCAAGTTATAAAAACACAATACACATAAACATTAATAAACTTATAGATAAATTAATTTCCTTTCGTTTAATGTATGGTTTGACAGGATTTTATGGGTTTATAGAGATTTGAGTCTTTCCGATAACCAACCAAAGGCCATCTTTGTGACGTTTTACAAGTAGTGAGCATTGCTAATAATAATAGGGTCAATTTAATAAAAAAAAAAAAAAATTAACTTTGGGGAAAAATTCGTATCAAGAGTTGCATTTATTTCAGACAAAAACCCGCCCACCCCATTACTCACATGGCAAACACATTTTCTCTCCAAGCAATATTAACTCCAAGAAAGCATTGTTGCTACTATTAAGTAGAAGACTGAAAGTATAAAATTAAAAAGATTTGAGAGTAAAATTTTATATCTTACCTCAATTTGGTGAGGTCCAATAAACTTAGCATAAGCATTCACATAGGTAACATTCTTTTCTCTAAGTTGGACCCGGTAAGCAAAATTTAACGAACCAATGTGATCCTGGATAAAAGAAAAAAAAGTTTTAAAAATTCAAAAAATAAAGAGAGAGAAGAATAATTGCCAAACAAAATTGACTTTTTTTTTTGAACTGTGAATTTATATTTACTTTCATCATCTCCCCTCCTTACAAAAAAAAAAAAAAGGGGGGCTATGAAATTGGTTCCAATATGATTATTGGAGACAATCTTCATCAAGAGGATTTTGGTCATTACAAAAAAGCAGAATCGATAAACCAAGCTCAAATTCCCATATAGTCTGCTGCATTCACTTTTACACAAATGCCCTTAACTTCCCACCCCAAGCTAAAGCTTAAATTGAATGGCAGAGCTCACTCTTTGACCTTGGATAGCAGCCCATCTACAAGACAGACAACTGGACTCCACTATCTTTTCCCAAGAATCCACAGCAATTCAGAGGTATTTGTAGAGAGCCAGGATTGCCTATGTCCTAAAGAGACATCATTATTCAATAGAGAGAGAAAGAAACATCAATACCTCATCCAAAAACCAAAGGAATTTCCGCTTGAAATAAGTGACTAAATGTTAGAATAGAGAGAAATTCTATTAAGTGGATATAGAATTTAAAGCTCACCTGGATAGCATCTCGCAATATTTTCCAATTGTGTTTGTCTAGAAGGGAGAGAGAGAGAGAAAAAAATGTTTTAATAATACAGAATCTTTTAAAATAAAAGAGAAAAAAAAATAAATAAAGCGACAAATACTTAGTAAGTGGAGACGAGAGGAAAGGAGACGAGAGGAAAGGAGACGAGAGGAAAGGAGACGAGAGGAAAGGAGACGAGAGGAAAGGAGACGAGAGGAAAGGAGACGAGAGGAAAGGAGACGAGAGGAAAGGAGACGAGAGGAAAGGAGACGAGAGGAAAGGAGACGAGAGGAAAGGAGACGAGAGAAAGGAGACGAGAGGAAAGGAGACGAGAGAGGAAAGGAGACGAGAGGAAAGGAGACGAGAGGAAAGGAGACGAGAGGAAAGGAGACGAGAGGAAAGGAGACGAATAAAATTGATTTGTGAACGTTTAGTGAACAACCCAAAAAAGGCTGTATGCAAATTCTTCTCTAGCATAAAATTTATGATTCAAATCTCAGCATTGCTATAAATACGTAATGCTTACTACAGTCAAGTAATTAAATATTAAAAATGAAGGAAGCATTGAAAAGAGGATACTTACAACTTTCTTCAACAGCCCAACCATATTTCATACTGTCATTTACAGCTTCACCTAAAATTTTAAAGAAATTTAAACAAAGTTTTAACATTGAAGTCACTATTGGAATTTATGATAAAATTCAGTGAACAGGTCAGCACTTAGAATCAGCATAAGTTTGGAAAAAAATTTAAAGCCACTTTTGATCATTTGCAATGCAAGTCAGAATACTGATAAAATGATCAACATGTGCCTTTTGTCTTTTTTCCTTAACATTGCATTTTATTGCATTCCAACACTGTCAATTACTCTCAGGAATAGTTGTTCATATAATTGCATGGATTACAAGTTTTTCCATTTTTGTAAAACCAGATACAGGTCCAAGCGTTTTTCCATTCAAATGGCTAGCAGTAACTCCAGGTCAACCCTGAACTTGGTGCATGGTCTGGTGCAAAACATATTCTGGCATAATACTATAGATTAACTGACAAAAATAGAATCTGATTATAGAATAAAAAGTTTTGGGCAACATGATATACAGATATTTTTGTTGAAATCATTGCTTACATTACAAATAACTGTAAAAAAGAAAAAGTAAAACATATCCCTAATCATCTAAATGTATCATTTTGGAAATAAGCTCAATATGGAGGACAAACATAAGTTATCTGTGTGTAAAGTGGAATTAACAGCCTGAGTTGGAGATTCTTAGTTCAATTAACATTGATGCCCTTGAAAATGGGATCTGTTTGTCTTCATCCAGCTGTGGATTGAATAGTTGAAGGCACCTTGATGTTGTAATGGTAAGTAGACACTGTTAGCTTCAGCTAGCAATCAACCAAGGAGAAGGTAAGCTGATCAAAAAGCAAGGTCAACTGGAATCTTTAGGCTTGAAAAGCAACTCAATCATCGTGAGGAGTAACACCTCTTTTACAGAAGGATGTGACCCTATGTTTACTGAAAGGGGAGTTAAAAAGGCACAAAAACTTTAATGCTTTAGTCCAACAAGGAGCTCGAGATATATATATATATATATATATATATATATATATATATATATATATATATATATATATGGGCAGCAACATGTTTTTTAAGAATCCTTAATTTTGGCATTCAAGATTTGTTTTTTTTTTTTTTTTAATTTATTTAGTTTTTTCCAGCATCCTTACATCTTTCAGTTTAGTAGGAATAAAGAAGTACAGAAATTTTCCACTTCTTTAACCATTTTCAGGTGTGGGGGGGGTGTTTTTGGTGTTAATTTTTCTTCATGTTTTGATTGGTTAAGTTGTATTTTATTTTTGTGTTGTTTTGAATAAGAGTATTTATTCCTTGCCTTCACATGGTGAGTGCGGCTGGAATTCACATGAGTATATTTCTATTTTTAAAACACTTTTACCACTCCATTTCCACTGCTAAATAAGGTGAGGTTGATAGTAGGAGAGAGATGTTTACTATACAAAGCATCTCTAATACAGTGTGCGTAGAATTTTTTGTGTGACTGATTTTGTTTGTTTTTTTTAGGATGTCATTTGAATAAACTGATATTTATTTTATAAAACATTTTCTCACACAATATATATATATATATATATATATATATATATATATATATATATATGTGTGTGTGTGTGTGTGTGTAATCTTACCTAAAAGAGCAGCTTGATGCATCAATTTTTTGGTATACAAACCAACGTTAACACAGGTGCCACCAAGCCCTAAGGAGGAGGAGAGAGAGAGAAAAAAATTGTTAAATTTAAGGCAAAAAAAAAAAAAAAATCTAACAAATTTAGATTAAGTCAATTCTGAATTTGATTTATACAAGTCAAGAACTAAGATATATCTTTGCATTACAACATAAACATTTTATTTTGCTTTTGAAACTTATGTGACAAACATCTTTTCATTACATTTTATTCCAAAGAATACAATTTTAAACTCACAAAGACTTCATAAAAACAAAAAAAAAAAAAATGGCTTTTTTGGCAAGAAATCATCCAAGCAATGAGAATTTGATCTCAGTTACACACACAGAAAAAAAAAAAAAAAAAAAAACAACTACATGCATGATAAAACAAGTTTGTCAGTTCAAAACGTCAACCTAAACATACAAAACACAAAGACTGATATGTTTAATGTTAAAACATGTCAGACCCTCAAAGGATTAAATTCTAATTCATGACCCTCTGTTCTTAAATGGCTGGTCATCCAAACGAGGAGGAAAAATAAAAAAAAAAAAAAGAAAAGAAAAAAAAAAAATAAAAGAAAAAAATAAAAAATAAAATAAAAAAGAGGGTCACTCACCCCAAGTTGTGCCTAAAGGTGTTGGCTTGACAAAATCAAAAACTGCAACTTTTTTATTTAATGCTGCTGCTTCCTGACCAAAAGAAAAAAAAAAAATATTCACTTCAGTTAATATTGTTCATTATCACAAATTTTTTTGTATGTAACAAAAGTTTAAAAGCTACAGGTAAGCCAACACAAAGGAGAAATAACTACAAGATCTTGAGCTGGTTGCTAAAATATCTAAATCATTAACATTAAAGTAAAAAGTTTGATTAATTTTATGAATTCTACCTTTCACCTGAAAATTACTTCATGTGGAATTCTTTTTGAAAATCTCATGGTGCAGCAAGGCTACAAACACAAAGTGTATTTGGATATCTATTCCTCATTGTGCATATTTGGCTGAAGACATTTTTTTTATTATTATTATTTCTTCAGTTAGAGGCCTTTTTTTCTGGTTTTCGGAAAGAGTTTGAACAAAAATTGTTCAATGAGTGGTTTCAGCTGATAAATTTTATCAGTAATTATCAAAGTTTTTGTGAGTTGACAGTCAATTATGAAATCTGACTTCAAACACCAACTTTTTTTTTTTTTAAAGCATTTCACCCCAAGCAAGGCGGGAAGCCACTAGGACGCAAGGGGTTACAGAAAATATAGAGCGAGATCAGATAGGAGAGATAGAAGAGGGTATGAGGAGAAGGGTAGTGGATAGATCAAGGCAACTGGAGAATACTTCATAATAGCCAGCAAAATTTCCAAGAAATTTTTCCCTTAACAAGTTTGTTTTTAGTTGCCAGTATGATTTTCTATTCCTACCTTAGATGCCAGGCACTAGTTATTTGCAATAAAAATTCAAGTTTGTAACCTTTACTGGCAAGTACAGAAAGGCTAGATAACTTTTTGTTAGCATCATAATAAAAACTGGCAACCACAAGTTATTTCATAGTTGGTAGTCAAGGTGTTTAATATGGTTATATCAATTAGGTATACATTGTGTGTGTCCTGCCCAAACACCACCTGCTGGTTTTTGGGTGTCACATCGTCATGCATCAGTCGGTGTGATGCATGTGAGTTTTCTCCTAACCAAGCCTTGATTTTTTTTTTTTTTAAGTTATGAAATACTATGTCTGCTCTGAAATCAAATTTTACTGATGCTGGATTGCAAGCGATTGGGAATTGCAAAGGAAATATTTGTTGCAGATTACTTCCATTTCGCCACATTTTCCATCGTAGGATACACACGACACACTGTCGCTTGGTATGACGAGGTAAGTTGCCGTTTTCTTCACCATATATTGATAATTGTGCTTTTTAGTGTTAAAGCTTCTAAGTTCTGTAATCCTATATCTGTGAGGATATTGTAAACATAAAAACAGATTTTTTCTTGGAAAAGTGGTTTTAAAGGATTTCTAGATAGCAATACTGAATATTGTCTGAAAGACTGAAAAAAAAAAAAAAAAAAATTTCTACATTTACATTATCCATACTATTGTCCTCAACTTTGTCGCCATATTTATTACATTTCGACCGCCAGGCTCCAGCCTTCTTCAGGTGGTTGGAATGTTGAAATGAACCCTTTATTTCACTCACTGGGGTAGACTGTTCTAGTTCCACGTAACATGAAGGCCGGAGCGTTGTAAAATATGTCAACAAAGATGAGGGCAATAGTCCGAATAATGTAAACAATGTATATAATCCTCATCTAAGAAATATAGGCCAAAAATTTCTGTATTAAATATTAAAATAATTCAAAATATATAAAATTTAATTGGTTATCTATTTCCACACATTTAAATGTGAAACGTCATGCTCTTTTTTTTCTGTTAAGAAAAAAAAAAAAAAGAAAGAGAGGAGAGAAAAGAAAAAGAGAGAAAAGGAAAAAAGAGAAAGGAAAAAAGAGAAAGGAAAAAAAGAGAAGGAAAAAGAGAAAGGAAAAAGAGAGAAGGAAAAAGAGAGAAGGAAAAAGAGAGAAGGAAAAAAGAGAGAAGGAAAAAGAGAGAAGGAAAAAAGAGAGAAGGAAAAAAGAGAGAAGGAAAAAAAAAGAGAAAAAAAGAGAGAAGGAAAAAAGAGAGAAGGAAAAAGAGAGAAGGAAAAAAGAGAAGGAAAAAAGAGAGAAGGAAAAAAGAGAAAAGAAAAAGGAAAAAGAGAAGGAAAAAAGAGAAGGAAAAAGAGAGAAGGAAAAAAAGAGAGAAAAAAGAGAGAAGGAAAAAAAGAGAGAAGGAAAAAAAGAGAGAAGGAAAAAAGAGAGAAGAAAAAAGAGAGAAGGAAAAAAGAGAGAAGGAAAAAAGAGAGAAGAAAAAAGAGAAGAAAAAAGAGAAGGAAAAAAGAGAGGAGGAAAAAAGAGAGAAGGAAAAAAGAGAGAAGGAAAAAAGAGAGAAGGAAAAAAGAGAGAAGGAAAAAAGAGAGAAGGAAAAAAGAGAGAAGGAAAAAGAGAGAAGGAAAAAGAGAGAAAAAGAAAAAAAAAGAGAGAAGGAAAAAAGAGAGAAGGAAAAAAAGAGAGAAGGAAAAAAGAGAGAAGGAAAAAGAGAGAAGGAAAAAGAGAGAGGGAAAAAAGAGAGAAGGAAAAAAGAGAGAAGGAAAAAGAGAGAAGGAAAAAAGAGAGAAGGAAAAAAAGAGAAGGAAAAAAAAGAGAGAGAAGGAAAAAGAGAGAAGGAAAAAAAGAGAGAAGGAAAAAGAGAGAAGGAAAAAAAGAGAGAAGGAAAAAAAGAGAGAAGGAAAAAAGAGAGAAGGAAAAAGAGAGAAGGAAAAAGAGAGAAAAAGAGAGAAGGAAAAAAGAGAGAAGGAAAAAAAGAGAAAAGAGAAGGAAAAAAGAGAAAAGAGAAGGAAAAAAAGAGAAAAGAGAAGGAAAAAAAGAGAAAAGAGAAGGAAAAAAAGAGAAAAGAGAAGGAAAAAAGAGAGAAAAGAGAAGGAAAAAAGAGAGAAAAGAGAAGGAAAAAAAGAGAGAAAAGAGAAGGAAAAAAAGAGAGAAAAGAGAAGGAAAAAAAGAGAGAAAAGAGAAGGAAAAAAAGAGAGAAAAGAGAAGGAAAAAGAGAGAAAAGAGAAGGAAAAAAGAGAGAAAAGAGAAGGAAAAAAAGAGAAAAGAGAAGGAAAAAAAGAGAGAAAAGAGAAGGAAAAAAAGAGAGAAAAGAGAAGGAAAAAAAGAGAGAAAAGAGAAGGAAAAAAGAGAGAAAAGAGAAGGAAAAAAAGAGAGAAAAGAGAAGGAAAAAAGAGAGAAAAGGAAAAGAGAAGAGAAAAAAAACACACATAAACATGCAATAATAACAAGAACATTACAAACCTTTGAAGCAGCCAAACCTCCTGAACCACCTCCAATTACAATCAAGTCATAATCATAAGACTCTTCTGGTTCTACATTGGGATCAACTGTTGTCTTTAATTTACCATCTTGATGTAGTTTAAGAGTGTCATCACAGCCACCTTGTAATGAAATTAAAAGTAGCTAACATTCACTTTCATTCAACCCTCAAAAAATTGTTAAGCAATATGAAAAAGATTCATTCAAAACTGTGGGTGATGAAGTTGATTCTATGAAGAATTAAAATATACTTTCTGAAGTATATGATTAACACCAAGATTGAATCAAATTTAATGCTCAGCATGAACCTCTGATTTAAGAGGAGATGATCCCTGATGATTCTAATATATACTAGGTTCATCCAAAGAGATTAAAGATTTGTATCATCTCAGCATGTCAAAAAACCTAAGTGCCTTGGGGAGAGGGAGCTGCCCTAGAAGGCCACCAAGTGCAAAATTGGGTCTCAAATGATGCTTGGTGTGGGGGGTACAAGAATAAACAGGAAGTGAAACAAGGTGAACTTTGAATACACACACACACACACAAGACAACTGAATAACAAGTTATATAAACCAACCTATGAGAGGAAAGGCAGAATCTCTAACATCCACACAAGATCGAATGCAATTTGACCAATATTAATTTGAGTCCAGAAGTCAATTATTTTTTTATATGAAAAATTTAACCTCACGTCCCTATCAAATGATATTCACATTACATCTCAGTAGTTTTCATCTGAA